ATTTAAAGGTGACATAGATATTTTATTATGGTATAGTATTTAAACATATGACTGAGAAACACATAATATTAGCCCTTTAAGGCTAATTAAAGCCTTATTTCTGGATGGATGAATTCAATGTCTTAAGACACAGGGACCCTGCATGAGGACCAGAATTGAGAATCACCACTCTAAGCAAGATATCCATTTTTAAATTAGGTTTAAATGTAAACTTTCATGCCAGTGGTTAATTTTTTGCGTTGTAATTTAGCCTCTGAACGTTAGTTGGCAGCAGTGGCTCCTCCACTACCCAAGGCACTAGAGTATATTGCTAGCTCAAACATTAGCACTGTGAATAAACATTAGCATGAAGTACCAATGGCTGAATCTGAGAATATTAGAGACACCTGCTGCCTTCAAAGCTGAGGTTGTCTCATATTAGCTGGGATGTCCCATATTTTAAGCCAAATATAAGTGTCCTGTACGAGATGCTCTCTCTCCTGACTGCAGTCAGCCGACACAAAATGAAATGCAGGCAATAATTTGTGTAGTGCACCGAGCTGAAGTGGGTTACCAAGGGACAGTACTGGAATGGCCAAACGCAACGACCAACAACACAGACTGTAACAGCCTCAAGCGATCAGGAAGTAGGAACGTCTCCTGAGGACTGAACGTCAGCACAAAATATAGGCTATTGTTTGTGTGACCATATATATAAATATATTATCAAACTACTTAATGGCACATTTGGCCTAACCGTTAAAAACATGGATGAAATAAGAAAAAACAAACATATAAAATACATATAAAATATACGGAGTTGTTTAAATATGGAATTTTTGGTGGAAAAAATGGTAATACATCACCTTGCTTACAGTATCGCAATAAATTGTATCTTGACCCGTGTCATATCATATCACCAAATTCTTGTCAATACACAACTCTAACGACGGCTCAGTGGTTAGCACCGACGCCTCACAGCAAAAAGGTCCTGGGTTTGATCCCCGGTTCGGACCTGGGGTCTTTCTGTGCGGAACTTTCATATTCTCCTCGTGATTGTGTGGGTTTTCTCTGAACACTCAGGTACAAATGATAACAAAAAACTATTCTCTGTAAAATATAAACAAAAATATCCTAAGCAACTCTTACTAAACATATTCAGGATGCTGTCTTACAAGACCATCAGCTGCAATAATTCTCTATAAACAAAGCCATTGAAATGGACTTTGGTGGAGCCCTGTCTGTCTGTTGACTCTAACATTGTAATTAGTTCTAATTACATTCTGAAATACTCACCTCATTTAACTTATTCCTAGATTATTCAGCGAGCTTAACAGTTCCTGATTTCCCTTGTAATGTCTGAAACTCATGTTATTAACCTTTATTTAAAAATGCAAATCTACTAGGATCACAGATCTCTTTTGCAAGGGAGGTCTGAGCCTGAAGGAAGCCTAATATGTATGTTCTTGACAAAGTAGGCCTACACAAGTCTCTAGGTTAGGTAGTTCATGGTACCAAGTAATTTGTGTGGAATGATTTGAGATTCTGACAGGACAAGCTTTGAACAAAGGTTCACAGTCCTGAAACAAAAATTAAATTAAAAAATGTGATATATTTTATTTATAAAACAGACATGCTATTGTTATTAATACTAATGCTAACTTATTAACTTAAATAGTATAGGGTAGCTCTGATACCATTGCATTATTATCAATAAAGCAATGTCCACAATCTTAAATATTCTTATCTAGATTGAAGTCCAGTGTTTCCCCTAGGAAAATGAACTTGGCGGGGGGGGGAACGACTTGTTTTATAAAAACATAAATTTACGTGACTCACCTGCAATTATGGTAATACATTTACACATACATGAACATTTAATTGCCCAACTACATCCTAGTTAAGGACTCCTCACGATAATTATCAATAAAATAGTTATTGATAATAAATGATTAGAACTGTGTTCAACAGATGATCTGAGTCCAGAGTTCTCAGTTTGAAACCTTCAGGGGCTCTTCTGTGTGACTCTAGGTGTGAGAGTGTGGATGGTTGATTGTCTCTTTTGTGTCCCTGATGGAGACTGGAGACCTGTCCAGGTGTCTCTGATGGAGACTGGAGACCTGTCCAGGTGTCTCTGGTGAACTGGAGACCTGTCCAGGTGTCTCTGGTGAACTGGAGACCTGTCCAGGTGTCTCTGGTGAACTGGAGACCTGTCCAGGTGTCTCTGGTGAACTGGAGACCTGTCCAGGTGTCTCTGGTGAACTGGAGACCTGTCCAGGTGTCTCTGGTGAACTTGATGAACTGTCCAGGTGTCTCAGGTGAACTGGAGACCTGTCCAGGTGTCTCTGGTGAACTAGAAACCTGTCCTGGTGACTCTGGTGAACAGGAGACCTGTCCAGGTGTCTCTGGTGAACTGGAGACCTGTCCAGGTGTCTCTGGTGAACTGGAGACCTGTCCAGGTGTCTCTGGTGAACTGGAGACCTGTCCAGGT